CGTAAGGAGAAATTTCCTGACAGTTAGAACAAGTTGTGGGAGCTTCATCACTTGAGATTTTCAAGAAGAGATTAGAATTAGAATTCTTTTATTGGCCAAGTGTGATTGGACACACAAGGAATTTGTCTCGGTGCAAATGCTCTCGGTGTACATAAAAGAAAAAGATACATCCGTCAAGAGTCCAGAATCATAAGGTGAGACACTTAGTGATAGTCATAGGCTACAATAAGCAATCAAATCATACTAGGAAACAGTCGATATAAATTGTAAGGATACGAATAACAAGGTTACAGTCATACAGTCACAAGTGGGAGGGGATGGGTGATCAGGAGCGATGAGAAGATTAACAGTAATAGTAATGCGGACTTTGTAATAGTTGGACAGTCTTGAGGGAATTATTTGTTTAGCAGTGTGATGGTGTTTGGGAAAAAACTGTTCTTGTGTCTAGATGTTGTGGTCACAAGAACAGTTTTTCCCCCAAAAGCCATCACTCTGCTAAACAAATAATTCCCTCAACACTGTCCAACTATTTACAAAGTCTGCAGTACTATTGGTCTGCTATTTGTGGGAAATGGTGTAGGGTCTCCTTCTTGGAGGGGTTGGACTAGATGACCTACAAGGTCCCTTCCAACTCTGTAAATCTGTATGCTTCATTCTGTAAAAACAAAATAGTTGGCACCTTTCAGTCTGTAATTGTTCTCCCACTCACTTGTGGGGGAAAATAAAAAAAGCAGAGTTTAGAAAGCACCGCAGGCAACACCCAAAATAGCAACAGATTTCCTGACCTCCGGTGCTTTCCAACTCCCCGCTGCAGGGAGCGCTTGATTTCCCCTGACGGGAGCCAATGAGAGATCTGTCCTTGGGCCGCTGCCTTTTCTGGGAAATCAAGTGATAAAAAAGAAGCACCATTTTTATAATGGCCACCAGGGGGCGGTGCTACATCAAGAACAATTTCCCCACCAAGGATGAGCGGGAAGATTTGACTCTCTCTCAGAGACCGCAATGAATGAACAAATGAATTATTGGGTTCCATCATAAGCGGATTGCTTGAGGCACATTTTCCCCTTGTTTAGAGGGGATTAGAACAGAACAGAATAGAACAGAACAGAACAGAACAGAACAGAATAGAATAGAATAGAAATGATGGGATAGAATAGAATAGAATAGAAATGATGGGATGGAATAGAATAGAATAGAATAGAATAGAATAGAATAGAATAGAATAGATGGGATGAGATGGGATGGGATGGGATGGGATGGAATAGAGTAGAGTAGAGTAGAGTAGAATAGAATAGAATAGAATAGAATAGAATAGAATAGAATAGAATAGAATAGAATAGAATAGAATAGAATAGAAATGATGGAATAGAATAGAGTAGAGTAGAATAGAATAGAATAGAAATGATGGGATA